ACATACAAAAACTCTAGTCCATGGAATTTGGGGTTCAGACTAGAAATATGATCAGTAGGTTTGTGCATAAGCAAATGCTTTTGCATTCAAGTTTGAGATCACTTTCTCCCTTTCTGAGTATTTCATTATCTTTCCTGAAATGAAGAGGACAAAAGTATCTAGCTACTAAGATTTGGGGACCTGGTACTTTGATGATATTACTAAAAGAATGGTGTTCAACATATAATCATTTCACAATATATGTAAATCAAATCATCTTGTTGTACACCTTTAACTTATATAAGTAATGTATGTCCATTATTTTTCAATAAAACTGGAAATAAAACCATTTTATGTTGTTCTTCCTAGTCATGATCCATTTAAACATGTTGGTATTACTTATAACCAAAAAGATATTCTTATAACAAGTGAAAAATACTTAACGTCACTTTTTTAGAATCAGGATCATTCATTTTTTATTTTGCATTGAAAGATGAGAGATAGGTTAAAGAGTGCAATTTTATTCTTTTATAAATTATGCAATAACATACTTTAAAAAGAATAAGGATCCCTCCTGGCACAGAAAGAGAATAATTAAAAGACTCTTGAATGAAAATAAAATCAAAATAATCAATTAAATTATAGCTATCATGGCTAGCATTGGATTACATGTAAAGTTTGGAAATATTAGAAATATTGGTACTTGATAATCATAATAGAGGGTGGAAACATTAGCAGTATGTAATATTGTTGCCCTCGGCTGACTGGAGCACTGCTCTGATAGATGTGTTTTCACTGGGATTTAACCTTAGTTAATACATCCACATCAGCTTTATCTGCGTCTCCAAGGCGTTTTTCATGGCTCTCAAACAGCACATTGTCTTCCTTTCTTAGGGACCTCCCGGAAACATCATCCCTGGGAACTATAGAAACTGCCGTGTTCACTTTCTCCAGCAATGCCCGTAGCCACAACCGCCTTCTCATCGTCTCCATATAATGACCCCGGTCATACATAAGCTGTATTTCACTCACAGTTATCCTTCTGTCGGGAACAGAAACAGAGAAGCCAATCCATTAGCTCTCCTCTTCCCATCATAAAGGCAGCCCTAAAAATCCAATCCCCAAGTCCTCGCCTTGCAGAACGAGAAACTTTACTTACTTCATGGGTTTCCCATCTGATTTTGCGAAAAAACAAATTGCAAAC